CATATATATATATATAATAAAAATGACATAAAATGAGCTATTATGTAAGAAAGAATAAAAAAATACTTAATATAAAATATAAAATATTATTTTTTAATAATTTTAATACTTCTAAAGATAAAGTCTTCAAATTTAATACACTTTTTAATATAATTTATATTATTATTTTTTTAACCGAACCAATTCATAAACTAACCACTCAAGTCTGAGTTACCTTGAACTTGATTTGTTAGCTCAGTTCGCGAGTCATTTATTGAGCCAAGCTCGCGCTGGCTTGACTCACTAACACCCCTAATCATCGCCAAAGCATATCAATATGACTTCGACAAAATTCACCGTACTCCATCAATAAACATATGCATACAATCAATCAAAATAAACCCAAACGAAGCCCTTCTGATATAAACTAATAGAAGCATATCATAAAGCTAACAAATCTTAATCATAATCAAGCTAAACAAAAACACTAAAAGTGAAAAGAAACTTGTTTTACTGAAAACCCATGCTCATTTACAATCCACATGGAAGAGTTACATACATACCTCTTAATTCCTATGAACTTGCATTTCTAAGACCAAAACTTCAATTTTTAACACACGTCACCTTACTTCTGAATGAAAAGGTGTATTTCACTATTTAAATGTTAAAAAAATTGAAATTTTTGATGTGTTATGAAAGATGGGTGATAAATTTGTAAGAAGTAGAGTTTACAAGTTAGATATATAATTACATAGGAATTGGGCAGCATGCATGTTAAAACCCCTCTCAATATTTATGAAACATTTAAAGGTGATCATTTTCAATTTTAAAAAAGAAAACAATATAAAGGTGTAGGCAGGCAACAGAGGCCGGCAGTGGGAGAATAATCACAACAGAAAACTACAGTAGAGAGGAATTTAAACCACACAGGATTTAGAAAGGAAATCACAGTTATTATATAACTCCAAACCTGGCCGTCCGAGATCCTCTTCTTTAAAGCAGGCACAACGTCGGCTCATTTTGCCAGTACGAGCAATTTCAAGGGGTCTCTGCACAAGTCTGGGGTACCCAACATCACACCATACCTAAAACATAATCGCATAATGCTTGAATTTCTTAAAGAAAAAAAGTATTAGTTTGTTGTTTCAACTAAATATACATTTTAGACTTTTTAGGGTCAATTTTACTAGTACGAGCAGATAATAGGGGCTGTTTGTTTTGCCAAAAAAAGGAATACAACATATAAGGAGTGTAATTGAAATGTAGTGCAATTATCCGGTCTAAAAGAAATGCATGGACTTGTATTTTTTTTTTTTTTGTTTGGTTTGAAAATAAATAAATAAATAAATTTAAAAAATGGGACTAGGTGGCAAAAGTGATGGTGGCCTACATGTATAGCTTTTATATGCTCCCCACCATCTTTACAAGTGGTGTGGAACCACTAAGCATAACCAACTACTAGAAAAGTCTAGATAGATGGGGCATAGACAATGGTCCACGAGCCCCAGATTCAAAATAGACATCTTTTGATCATGGACAAAAGCATGTCCATGACTCAATCAGGTAACACGAGCTTTTAGGAGATTCATCAAATATTATTTTATGATCTTGAAAATCCTTTATATTCTCCCCACTTGAACACCCAATTATGCCACTGAGATTCAAAGCCATGATCTGTGCTCTAAAACCAAATTGTCACAAGGTACGTTCTAGCTAATGGTTTAGTTGCCTCATGTTCAAGGGTGTGTTGCAATACCCATTACTCAGTTGTCCGCTATGGTCAAATATAGGTCCATGACTCAATCACCCACCATGAACTTGCAATATATGTAGAAGTTGTCATTCTATACATATAATTATGTTTGTCACTCTTTTAAAGTCTATTAAACACGAGAATTTTCAAAATGACGGTTGTGTCAATGCCAGACACACGTCGAACATGAAAATGACTACAACAAGACCCAACATGTGTCCAACATTTCATAAATTATGTTTAATTTTTTTGATGTAAAATTAAGCTCTGCCACTAACCAAACATGAAGGGACATGGTATTGACACAAGAAGTCATGCTGAGTGATTTGGCACTCAAAATCGAAACCTGTATTCCTTATAGAAGTTGCCCTGGTTATGCTTAGTCGCCCCCTCAATGCCAAAATTGTATCTTGCATCTCCACAACAAAATTCAAAGTCAATTAAATGTCTACCCTCGAAGCCAAAGCCCATGTCGCCTCGCATCTCCAATTTTGTGCTCCCTCTTCATCAAAGCTGAAACTGAACGCTGACAATCTCATATTCTACCATTTCTTCGAAGTTAAGATGCATTAAATCTACACCACATTCATAGTCAAAGCCAAGGATGATTGTGCAAAACACCTCTACATCCCACCTTCAAAGACGAAGACAGTTGTTCAAAGGGTTTAGAGGTAATTGCTTGCAGTATTTTTTGTCATTCAAAATCATTGTCTCTATTTGCATCGAACCCCAAATGACATTTGTTGGTTTCCTTCATTTTTTTTGTAGTTAACATGTCCCAAACAAATTGAAATGTCATTATAATCATGATTCTAATAGGTCTGTGCCTTTGTAACCAAGACAACCGTCTCCACTTCTACACCTTTGCTCAAAGACAAAGGTCATAAAATATCTGATGTAAGTCTTTAGATTTTGATTCTTGTCATAATTCTCACCCTTGTGTTTTGCTATGTTTATAGGTTAATTAATCAAAGTCTGTAAACTAGTATCAATTAGTGCACTTAATTGATTGAGCGGAATTGGGTTATTTAAAAGTTTAAGTGTGTGATTGATTAAATGTTTATTTATTGAGTGATCCTCAATAAATCATGTTTTACTTGATTATTTTAAGGATGCTATTGATATTTATCTTGTGAAGATTTTTTTACAGTTAAAAAGCAATCCCGATATTGATGAAATGCATGACAACTAAAAGAGATTAATGGATGATCTCGCAATAAAGAATTTCTTTTAGTAGTCATCATGTTTATTTTCTTTTATCATTATAAATTTATTTTATGACAAAATATTTCATTTTGTAATGTATCTACTAAAGAATGTTAAAAATTACATATTTCATATTAATGACTTATATAACAACAACAACAACCCCCCTTTATCCCACTAAGTTGGATAAAAATATGTCCATTGTGTATCGCATCCTATTTTTTACAATTATACTTATTGTCACATGCTTCATAGTTTGTGTCCATGCTTCATAGTTCAAAGCATATTTTTTTCTTAATAACTTTTACAACCTGCTCACTCTACAATGATGTCTCATTCTTAGGGCCCGTTTGGGGCAGTTTATAAGTGCGGGCGGCATTTTGAAAATGCCGCCTCACCAAAATGCCGCCTCACCTTTTGTTTCGCTTATTCCGGAAGCTTATCCAAAAACAGAGTTTTAAATTTGTGAAACACGCGGCCCGCGGGGATCGCTTTTCGTTCGCAACGTATTACTCTTGTGCCCTCTTTAGCGTGTCTCGTGCCCCAGTTCGGATCTCCCTTTCCCCTCGATCGCATCATTTGCCCTATCCGCTCCTCTCTCTTCTCCGCGCATGACTAGTAAATCTTTGACATTTCTTCTTCCTTTTCTGTGACATTTCTTCCTCTATGGCTTCCTGATTCAGATATGTTTTTTTTCTTTTTTTTTTGCTCTCGAAGTGCAAATCACAGTTCATCTTCTTTACCAACGAGAACAATATCAATGTGGAGGTAGTTGCGATGCACATCTGGAAGTCTTTATTTCATTTTTATGAGATTCAGCAGAAGTATTCCAACCAGAAAGTTTATGAATTTCTAGTGGGTTGTGGAAGAGTTTAATTCATTTTTTTTGAGATTTATGAGATGTCAAACAATTCCTAATCCAACAAATCACAAGAGCTGTAGCGATTTACCCATTACCATAGCTCATTTTCTTTTATATTCCTTCAAACGGGACTTCCCATTGCCTCTTGTATCAACTGTGAATTGTTAAATGCTGAAACTTTTTCTGCTTTGCTTTAACCGAACAAGTGCTCCGTAAACCATCATATACGTTGCTGCTTTTTAACCCAACAATAGTTTCATATTCTTTCTGAAATATCAGGTTTTGTAACATATGAAAATCTCAGCATGCAGCTTGTACATGGCTACTCTCTGCTGCAAAGGCTTTCCTAATCGATCCAAAACCGGCTCTAAATATTTTAAAATAGGTAGAAAGTTTTCTTATGTGAATTCTAATGGATTGGACCTAATGCAGCTATAATCTGATTAATCATCTTCGACATGACGATTGCTGCACTAACCATCTCAGTTCTTGTTGGAGCTGAAAACTCGACAGCTGCTATAGAAACTTGGAATGCATGATCAATATCATGCCTTTGTATTTGAAAAAGGACATCCAATAGTACCCTTGCAATATCCAGTCTAATTATCTTGCTCAAGAATGGTTGTCCAAGTAACATAGTTTGTCAGTTTAACCAATCTTTTACCGCATTTGGAATGCATAATAATAAGTGCAATAATTTATAAAGAAAAGAGTGTATTTACTAATGGGAATGAGGATTTTGCAAACATTTCTCATAAAAGATCTAATTGCATGATCTATTGCAGCTACAGAATTAATTGGGCTCAGCAACCCCCTACTTGGTGAGATGGCTGACCCCTTCCCACAATGGTTCTAACAATGGCAATACAAGCATAATTAGGAAAGCAAGGAAGCAATCTATACATATCTTTGCTTGCAAAAATTCTGATAAATTCCAAATGGCTAGAAACCTTGTTTGCTGTTTTTGGTTTTTGCATGTTGCCCAATTGAAAGACTTTAATAAGAGGTTTTCCTACTCTTAACTTGTGATTGCTTATCTATATTTTGTATACTTTCACCTGTTGTTTCTGCACTCTCTAAAAAGTGACCTAAGTTTGTTAAGTAAAAGATTTCATTTTGTGTTACTGCTTCGTAGGTGTTTAATTTGGTCACCTAAGTTTGATAATTGTTGTAGCTTCTTTTAACAAAAACATCTTTTATCATGGAATAATGTACTTCATTTTGTGTTACTGTTGTTTCTGCAACCTAAAAATGCTTTTTTGTTCTTTGGACATACTTAATCCAGAAGTGGCAGTCTTCTCAATTTGATATGAAGCCCAGCTGAATACAAAGCAAAAAATAGTTCATGAAGCTTAGAAAGCCCAATGGCTGACATATTACACCACCAATTAAAAAAAGTCATATATATTGTAACTGATTTTGTTAATTAGTTACTAATAATCATGATTTTTACTTCTTAAAGAAGATTGTAAGTAACAATCATTCTTTAAATAAGGATGATCTCAACCAAGCAAGAGGAAGAAAATTTTTCCTTGCTTTATCTTCTCTATGTTGTTAATTTGAAGCAATCTATACTTTTTTTTGTTGTGATTACTGGATGTTCTTTAGGGCTGCTATGTAATGGTTTGAGCAATCTCGGCGATTGCAGCTTGGCCATATTCTTTAAGGGTAACCGTTGCTTTTATGAGCTATAGGTTGGCTTATTTTGTTAGTTCTGTCATTGGCTCTTACCTTCTCTTTTTAAAGTGAGAATGGTGGCATTTTTATGTAATATGAATGACTTGGCTTCTATAAATGTTAAAAGTAAAGTTATGGTACTAGAGATGTAAACTTATAGAAATTGGGTGGTAGGTATGTAACTGCCCCTTTAATTATTTTTGTGCCATCAGTATAGGGATGGTTCTGGTGGCTATGATGGTTCTGGTGGCTTCTGGTGGCTATAAGCCTGCAGCTTGAGAAGAGTGGATTCAGGAAGGATCGAAATAGTTGCCTGAACCAACTGCACTCTATAGCAGAAATTTTATTTACAGAAGTAGTTGAACCAATTACTTGTCCTATTCTCATTGCATCGGTTGACGAGGCGGTTCTGGACAGCTTTTTTGTTTAAGTACAATAAAAGCAACCGATCGTACCTGTTCTTCATCGGTGTGTCGGTGTGGGGTAATAATTTGGATGGCAAAAAAGATTGTTGCGAGGTTCCTTAGTGACTCTTTCACCTCTTGCAGTTTGCTACATCGTCTCTATCTTAAATGATATGAGTGGAT